ATCAGGGTTATGCTGGCTTCATAGAATGAATTCTGGAGTAGTCCTTCCTTTTCCATGCTCTGAAGTAATTTGAGTAGTACTGGTGTGAGCTCTTCTCTGAATTCTCCAGTGAAGCCATCTGGGCCAGGGCTTTTTTTTTTGTTGTTGTTGTTGTTGTTGTTGTTGGGAGTTTTTAAATTACCCCTTCAATTTCTTCTCTTGTTATGGGTCTGTTCAGATTTTCTATCTGTGTTAGTTTAAGTAGGTAGTGTTCGTTTACTCTAGGTTCTCAAATTCGTTGGAGTACAATTTTTCATAGTATTCTGTTACGATCTTTTTTATTTCAGTTGGGTTCACTGTAATGTTCCCCATCTCATTTCTTATTTGGATGATTTGCTTTCTCTCCTGTTTTTGTTTTTTCAGTTTGGCCAATGGTTATCAATTTTGTTGATCTTTTCAAAAGACCATGTTTTCATCTTGTTGATTCTAATGTTTTTCTGTTCTGTATTTCATTTGTTTCTGCTCTAATCTTTATTATTGCCTTTCTTCTTATGCCTGAGGGCTTGTTTTGCTATTCTCTTTCTCTTTGTTTGAGCTGTAGGGTTAATGGTTTGATTTTGGCCCTTTCCTTTTTGATGTATGCATTTATTGCTATAAATTGACCTCTGAGCCCTGCTTTGTTGAGTCCCAAAGATTTGGGTATAATGTGTTTTCCTTCTCATTTGGTTCTAGGAATTTTTTTGATTCTCTCTTTGATTTCTTCTATTACCCAGTTGTTTTTAAGCAAGGTGTTTTTCAGTTTCAATGTATCTGATTTTTTTTCCTTGCTCTTTCTGTTATTGATTTCTACTTTTATGGCATTGTGATCTTAGAGAACGCTTTGTATTATTTCGATGTTTTGGATTTTATTGAGGGTTGTTTTGTGGCCTAAAACGTGATCTATTCTAGAGAATGTTCCATGTGTATTGGAAAGAATGTATACTTTGCTGCTGTTGGGTAGAGTGTTCTGTATGTATCTACGATGTCAAGTTGGTTGATTGTTGCTTTTAGCTTTTCTGTATCTTTGTTCATTTCTTTCCAGATGTTTTGTCCTTTATCGAGAGTGGTGTGTTGAAGTCTCCTATCACTGTGGAACTGTTAATTTTTCTTTTCAGTGCCGTTAGAGTTTGTTTTATGTATTTTGGAGCCCTGTCATTGGGTGCATAGATATTTACTAAGATTGTATCTTCTTGGTGGATTGTCCCTTTAATCACTATATAACGTTCTTCCTTTTCTTTTATGGTGGATTTTGCCTTAAAGTCTATTGTATCTGAGATTAGTATTACCACTCCTGCTCTTTTTTGGTTATTGTTTGCTTGATGTATTTTTTCCATCCTCTGATTTTTAATATATTTATGTCTTTGTGTCTAAGGTGTGTGTCTTGTAGGCAGCATATTGATGGGCTGTTTTTTCTTTCTGTTCTGCCACTGTCTGTCTCTTTACCAGTGTATTTAAGCTATTTACACTCATTGTTATTATTTATAGGTATGAGTTTATTTCTGTTACATTGTTGTGCTTTTTTTTGTTGTTTTCTCTGCTGACTTTTTTTTTGTTCCTCTTACTTTTCTGTGCTGAGTTCCTTTTGTTTGTGGGTTTTCATTTCATTTTTTTCATTATTATAGATTTTCTGTTTACTGAGTCTTTATGTTTTCTTTTTTATTTTGATGAGTAGGTTTGTTAGCTTTCTTTGTGGTTACCTTGAAATTCACCCTTACCTTCCTCAGTGTGAACCTGTCTTTTATTACTTGATATTGCCTTGACTTCCTCTCCATTTTAAAGCCCTATACCTACACTGTTTATTCCCTCTTTTATTGTTTTGAAGTTGTTGTCATTTACAGATTAATGTCTCTGTTTCCCTGTTTTAAGCCTTTTAGCTTTGTCTTATTATTGAGAGTTCTTTACATAGGCTGATGCTGTGCTGTGTCCTAGACTCCATTTGTTGTCTGATATTGTTGATTCTCTAACCGAAGGACTCCCTTTAATATTTCTTGTAAGTTTAGTTTGGTTTCTAATGATTCCCTTAATTTCTGTTTGTCGGGAAGTGTCCTAATTTTGCCATAGTATTTGAGAGAGTTTTGCAGGATGTATTATTCTTGGTTGGCAGTTTTTTTCTTTCAAAGTTTTATATATGTTATCCCATTGCCTTCTTGCCTGCATAATTTCTGCTGAGTAATCACAGTTTATTCTTATTGTTTCCCCGGACTTCATTTTTCTTGAGCTGCTTTCAATTTTCTCTTTGTTTTTGGTTTTGGCAAGTGTGATTATGACATGTCTTGATGACTTTCTTTTGAGGCCTATCCTATATGGGGTTCATTGTGCTTGGATGGCTAGCTTTTTATCTTTCATGGTATTTGGGAAGTTTTCTGCCAGCAAACCTTCAATAATCTTCTCTGTGTTTTTTATTTTCTACCCTTTCTGGAACCCCGATCACATGCAAATTTTTGCCCTTGATTGTGTCGCACATATTCATAGGTTTCCTTCATTCCGTTCTCTTATTTTTTCTCAAACAAAATGGCATCCATGGATTTGTCACCAATCTCATTGGTTCTGTCTTCAATTGTTTCAAATTTGCTCCTAAAGCCTTCTATTGAGTTATCCAATTCTGAAATTTTGTTGTTTATCTTTTGGATTTCTAGTTGCTGTTTTTGTATGATTTCTAATTGCTTATTTATTTTGACATTTTATTCTTGAATTATTATTTTCTTGAATTCTTCTGTTGCTTTGTCTGTGTTTTCCTTGATTTTGGCTATCTTTTTGTTGATTTTATCTGTGTTTTCCAGGATTTTGTCTGTTTTTTTCCTTGGTTTTGTCTGTGTTTTCCTCGATCTCTTTCCTAATCTCTTGGAGAGCACTAAATATTAAACTTCTGAATTCCATATCAGGCCGCTCCATTACCTTTTCTTCTATCAGAAGGTTATCTGATTCTTTATTTTGGTCACTTGTGAATCTATCTTCTCTTGTGTTTTTATGTCTTTTGTTATTGTCTGCTGTTTTTGAGACATTAAGATGTTATTTTCTTTATTGATTGTATGTTCATTTGTTTTGTCCTGGTTTTTTTGTTTTATTTTGATCTGTGAGGGTGGGTGGGCTGGGCATGCTTTTCTGCTTGCTCATCTGTGGACATGCTAGCTCTCACCACTTTGTCTGTGTGGGCAGCACAGTGGCAGTCAGAGCAAACCCGCTTCGCTGTACACTGGTTTGGCGAGGTGGCTGAGGGTAGAGTTGGTAGGTGCTGTCTGCCTGCTGATGTTGGTCCAGTGGGTGTGGGAGCATTCACAGCCCCTTGCCGGTTGGCCAGGTGTATCAGACAGGGAGTGGTACAGGCTTGCTTCTCACTGTTCTGCAGCTAGTTGTGTGGCGGAGAGTAAGGCAGTGCAGGCCCAATGTGGTGGTTGGCCTGAGTGCTGTGTGCACTCTAGCTACAGAATGACTGGGGTCAGTGAGAGAGAGGGTTGTGGTATACGGGACTAAGTTGAAGGGAGAAAGAAAAGAAAAAAAGGGGAGGTTGTGCGGTAGAAGCTAGTGGGTCAGGGTGGGGCTGACGTGGTGGTTGGTGGGAACATGGGGGAGGTGGCCATCGGGGCTTGGTGGTGGGCAGAAAAAAAAGAAAGAAAGAAAAAGAAAAAAATGTCAGTGCAGTGGGAGCCTGCAGATGGGGGCAAGGCAGACCCAGTGTGGTGGGCTGGCACGCTGGTGGCTTTCTAGCTGTGACAGTGTGGCAGGAGCCGGTGAGAAGGTGGGGAGGTGATGGATGGGGCTAGGTATCCCAGAGGAAGAAAATAAAGAATGAGAGAGAAAAAAATGGTGGCAGTAGGGGCCAGCGAGTGGTTGTGGGGCAGACCCAGGGGCCGGTGGAAAGGGAGGTGAGGTGACCTACAGGCTTGGTGGTGGGGAGAAAGAAAATAAAGAGAAAAAGAAAAAAATGGCAGTGTGTCTGGAGCTGGCAGGTGTGGGTGGGGCTGACCTGGGGCATCAGGCTGGTGTGCCAGTGGCTCTGTAGTCACAGCAGTGCAGTGGGGGCTGGCGGGAATGTGTAGGAGGTTGCATATGGGGCTAGGTGAGAGAGAGAAAGGAAAGAAAGAAAGAAAGAAAAAAGCCTCACAGCAGGAGGTGGTAGGGCGGGCCTGGGGGTGCCTATATTGTGGACCCTGATGGTGCGGATTGCTGGGATGGGGGGATTCTGGCTACTACTCACCAGAATGGTGAGGGGTGGGAAAGTGAGATTCTCTGGTTACTGGGTGCTCTGTCTCTGTTGAGAGCTCTGTGAAGTTTCCTTCCCGTACTTTCTGTCTAGGGCCATTGCTGGCTGTGTTTTCAAGATGGCCATGCTGTGCTGTGTTAGTTGGCAGGAGACCTCCACTTCATACCTCTCCGCATTCTCTATTTTCCGTCAGTTTCTTCTTCCATTCGGTGTTTGATCTAGTTCTTTATCCCTTCATTTGCAGCTCGGTGTTCCAGGATTGATGTTCATATCTGTTTTATTCAGTTTTTTGGGTCTTTGCTGCAGAGAGACGGCATGGTGCATCTCTGTCTAGGGTGCCACGTTGACCTCATTTTAAATGCTTTTTTTAACCTTCCCTTTTTATTCTGTAATATTTTGTGAATATCTATCCAAATTATCAGTCAATAAATAAGGTCTATATCATCATTATCAGTGGCTGCACATTATACTAACATATGCATGTACCACCATAATTTAATATAACTCTTATTGGATATTTAGTTTGTTACCAATGTTTTGCTATTATAAAAAATGCTTCACTAAAAAATCCTTATATATTCATCCCTGAGTATTTGGAAGATAACAATCTTGAAAATCAATAAAAATTGATCATGACCAATATCAGTGTATCTATATTTGCATAATTCTTCATTGTGGAGTATCTAATGGGTGAAAAATAGTAATTATTATGAATAAGAATTTGTTTTCTTGCTATGTATTTTCTATTAAGCACTACCTTATCTATAACTTTCTCTTTTAGAATTACTGAATGAAAGCTTAAAAGAATCAAATGAGAAACAGGATTGTTTGACATCAGAACTAGAAGATATTAAAATGTCTTTGCAAAGAAGTGTGGTATGATTTAAAAACTAATTAGTGTGTAATAAGTCTCACACCATCAATCAGTCAACAGATATTTATTGAATACTAATATGATGTTCAAGCACCTGAAGCTTCAAATAGAGAAGACAAAATGCCAGTCTATAAAATGCATATACTTTAATTAGGGACACTGGATAAACACATATCCAAAAGTATAATTAGAATATAAGACTGTACTAGGTACCAACAGGATGATTCAGGGAATAAAGAACTGTAATAGTTCTAAGAACTGAAAGAACACTATGGGCTGGATTGACTAGAAAGACTCCATGGAGGAGTTGGGACTATGTGTGAGCTTTGGAGGAATCGTCAGTTGAAATAAAAGTAGTGGGTGGGCATTCCAGATTGATTGGGTGGGGGCTGGAGTGAGGGACAGCAAATTTACAGAGTAGATGAATTCAGCTTTTTTTCCTTAGGCCTTTGGATCATCAGTGCTTTTGTTTTATACTTTATTTCATTTAGAGTACTCAAAAGGTTTTAGAGGAAGATTTACAGATTGCAACAAAAACAATCTATCAGCTCACTGGAGAAAAAGAAGCTCAAATGGAAGAATTCAGTAATGCTAAAGCTGCTCATTCATTTGTGGTTACTGAACTTAAAACTACTATCTGCAACTTGGAAGAATTATTGACAACAGAACAGCAAAGGTAAAAATATTTACTGTATAGTTGAATAAAAATAATTGACTTCTGGAGATATTCAGTATCATTTTCTATTCATTGTCAGCTGACTTGTAATTCCTATAACAGCTTTAAGCCTCTTTTTTATATATATGATGGGAATACATTTAAAAAGTTTGTATTGAGTAGGCAGGTATGCTAGGAGAGGGCTTAAAAGCAGGTATTCTCTAATACAGAGTCCCTGGATTAATGGTTAATGAGTTCGACTGCTAACCGAAAAGTTGGAGGTTGGAGTCCACTCAGAGGCTCCTCAGAAGAAAGACCTGGTGATATACTTCTGAAAAATCATCCATTGAAAACCCTGTGGAGCACAGTTCTCTGACACACATGGGTTGCCATGAGTCAGAATCACTCTTCTGCAGCTGATTTTGGTTTATTCTCTAAGACAGTTTCCTTGTATGCTTTGCTTAGAATCAAACTATATAGAAAGGCTCATAAATGCAGATACAGTGATATGACATATTTAATTAAATTCTTGATTTTTATTAGATAGATAGATGGACAGATAATTGCTGTTGAGTTGACTCTGACTCATGGCAACCTTATGTACAACAGAATGAAATGCTACCCAGTCCTCATGATTGCTAGTGTGTTGGAGTCCATCATTGTGGCTATCATGCCAGTCCCTCTCACTGAAGGTCTCCCTTGCTCTTGCTGGCCATCTGCTTTACCAAACGTGATGTCCTCCTCTAATGATTGATCCTTCCCTCCTTATGATGTGTCCAAAGCAAGTGAGTAGGGCAATGTTCTGTCGTGATCCATGAGATTTTCACTGGCTTATTTTCTAAAGTAGGTGTCTTAGCTATCTAGTGCTACTATAAAAGAAATACCACAAGTGAATGGCTTTAACAAACAGAAATTTATTCTTTCACAGTCTAGGAGACTGGAAGTCTGAATTTCGGATGCCAGCTGCAGGGGAAGGCTCTCTCTCTGTTAGCTCTGGGGGAAGGTCTTGGCATTAGGCTTCCCCTGGGTCTAGGAGTTTCTCAGTGCAGGGACCCTGGGTCTAAAGGATGCACTCTTCTCCTGGCTCTTCTTTCTTGTGATAGAGGGTCCGTCTTCTCTCTGCCCACTTCTCTCTTTTATATCTCAAAAGAGATTGACTCAAGATACAACCTAATCCTGTAGATTGTTTCGTGCCTCATTAACACAACTGCCTCTAATCCAGCCTCATTAACATCATAGAGGTTAGGATTTACAACACATAGGATAATTATATCAGATCCCAAAATGAAGGACAACCACACAATATTGGGAATCATGGCCTAGTCAAGTTGACAAACATTTTTTTGGACACAGTTCAACCCATAACAGGTTACCAGGCCTTTCTTTCTATTCTTAGTCTGGAGGCTCTGCTGAAATCTTTCCACCTTGGGGACACTGCTGGTATTTGAAATAGCAGTAGCATAGCTTCTAACATCACAGCAACATGCAAGCCACAACAGTACGACAAATAGATAGGTGATAGTGATTATTATTAGCTTCATAGAAATAATTTCCTAGGCTATGGGATTTGGTTTACTGGGGTCTATAACCCACTTCCTGATTTTGAATGTAGCTATTAGCCTGGTATTGAGTAGGTACTCAAACATCTTTCTTGAATGAATGAATTAATGAATATAACTAACGATTCATAAAATAAACTTGCTTGCATTTCATCTGAACTGCAGTTTTTCTGAGACTTGAATGTTAAAGACTTGCTCTATTTTCTACTACTTTATATTAAGGAAATATTCTCTTAAAGCTATGAAAACAGCTTTATTTTATTTTTGCTCCATTAACATCAGGACTAATTAAATTTGGTAGTTCTCAAGAAGAAAGATGAACAAGCTTCTTTCTGATGTCGTGGCTTGGCCCTAGTCGCATTTCTTCTCCACTGCTTGTGCATAGTGAAGTAAGAAAAGCTAGTTCCTCTAATCTTATGTGTTCTAATTAGCCTGTCCTGGTGATTTTCAAACTTTAAAATTGTAAGCAACCTTGTATGTTCTCTTTCTTAGTTGCTTCAATTTTATAGACAAGGAAACAAAGAGAAATTAAGTGAATTGCACAGGTTCTCATATTTATATTGTTCCTAAGGCAGAATGCAATATAATAGTAGTTATATATATTCAATCTCTTTCAGAGGTCTAGAGTGCATTAATTTGATTATCATCAATAGCTAAGAGAACAAATTATGACTATAAGCTTTAAGGTTTTATGTGGATGTAATTAATATACAATTATGTATTTATAATCATAACATCTTATTTTAAAATATCACACTGTCTGGCACACAGTAGATAGTCAATAAATGTTTGACAATTAATTGGATGAATCTGTGCTAAGATGTATCAGTTGCTAAATTGTACTGATTTTAGTTACTAGATGAATTCTGACTAATGGGATATTTTACTTTTAACATAAGACTGGAAAAAAATGAAGATCAACTGAAAATACTTACCATGGAGTTTCAGAAGAAGTCAACTGAATTGGGTAAGATTTAGAGAATAGTATGTGTACTTTGATAATATTAGCTAATTATAAAAATAAACAATATTTCAGAATTGTTACTCTTGTTGTTGGGTGCTGTCCCGTCAATTTTCGACTCATAGCAGCTCCATTTGCCGATAGTGATTATTCGATAATTTTGTTTGATTTTTCAAAGATAGAAAATTTAAACCTAAAGAAATACTATTCAGTTTCATTATGCAGTTCATAGATATCTAGAAGTGTAACGAGCCTAAGACATGTTTGTAGTGTATTTTCCTTATTTAGGATTCAGGAGCTGTAGTGAGAAATGACTGTTACATTTTATAATTGAATTTTGAAATTTCGTTGCTTAACCATGTTTGGATTATGAACTATTCATAGGAAAATATGTAATAGTATTCAGCAACTTTCATGCCCAAAAGAGAGTGAAATTCTGTAGTTATTTTTTGAATTTATGGTCATTTCATTAGCTAATTATAATATTCTAAGCTTCATAAGAAATGTAGAGAATTAAAAAGGCACAAAATATATTTTTTGTAATTATTCCAGTGAAAATAATTATTTTTATAAATTAAAAAATTCATTAATTGGCAGTTGTTTTCCCAGAATATCTCCATAACTTTTTGTAAGCTTTAATATTATCTTGTTTAATTAAAAAGTTGCAACTAAGATTGCCTAGTATCTGAAATGTTTGCATTGAAAACATTCTGCAAATAGTATGTTTGGTTGAACTTTTGAACCATTATGTTTTTCCTTTTGCAATGCTTAATTTTCCATTGTAGACTAACCTGTAAGAGTCCAACTTTGTGCTATTCAATGGTAAATATTTTTATATTCTTATTATTACTTTATATTAGAAAGATTGTAAGTGCAGTCCTCACCCAATTTTTAATGTCTCTTCGAGCAATAAATTATAGTTTTAAATTACTGCATTCTACTTCCTTTAGAATTGTTCAGTTAATGTTGTAGACTAAGGAATACTTTTGGTTTCCCAAATATATTTAATGAATATTTATTTGTAACGATTCAGAAAAATACTAAAATTAAGTGACTGTTAATTGTCATATTAAAAATCAAATTCACAATTGATTTTTTATAATATAGCGATCAATTGTAAGAAGTCTGAATAGGAATTCTAGAGCTGTGAAACAGTACTATGTGTATTTCTTAGAATTATCTTAAGTGCTGTGGGAACATATACAAAAAATAAAATACGTTGCTCATGTGAAATCTCTAATTATTATGGGAGAAAGGTTGAACAAATTTCCATTAGAGCAATAGTATCTAAAATGAGTCAGTGAGCAAGAATTCCATTAGGGTAAGGGGAGAAAATATCAGAGCTTTTATTTCTATTTTTTGTGTTTCACATATATGTCATGGATTGAACTGTGTCTCCAAAAAATATCTGTCAGCTTGGGTAGGTCATGATTCCTAGTATTGTATGATTGTCTACCATTTTGTCATCTGATGTGATTTCCCTATGTGTTGTAAATTCTATCACTATGATGTTAATGAGATGGATTAGCGGCAGTTATATTGATGAGATCTACAAGATTAGATAATGTCTTAAGCCAATCCTTTTTGGGATATAAAAGAGACAAGCAAGCAGAGAGATGGGGGACCTCATACCACCAAGAAAGCAGCACCTGGAGCAAAGCGTGTCTTTTGGACCTGAGGTTCCTGCACAGAGAAGCTCCTCAATCAGGAGAAGATTGATGACAAGGACCCTTCCGTAGAGCTGACAGAGAGAGTAAGCCTTCCCCTGGAGCTGATGCCCTGAATTTGGACTTCTAGCCTACTGAACTGTGAGAGTACAAATTTCTCTTTGTTAAAGCCATCCACTTGTGGTATTTCTGTTATAGCAGCACTAGATGACTAAGACAATATATTTTATAATAAACAATATTATCACAGTATATTATATATGAAACAATATATAAATATGTATTTGCATTTTATGCATATTTATATATTTGGTGTGAATGCTCACAGATTTCTAATTGATCGAGGTGCCTTATTGCTAATAACAAGAGGAAGCCAAAGATATCAGTGTGACTGCAGAGTTGATAAAAGCTTCATGGAAGAGATAGATTTTAAAAGTAGACTTTAAGACACAGTGAGGCTTTGGACAGTTGTAGAGGATGATGGAGCATGCCAAACATTATGTGTAGGAGAGTAGCATTAACAGTGATATAGGTAGTCAACATTAGTTTGTTTCCGTCTTTGGCTAGTAGCATTGTCCATTCTCAAAACCAGAAATCTTAGAGGTTATTTTGTACTCTTTTTCCCCTTACGCTTTACTTGTAATTGGTTATGCAGTGCTGTCCGTTTTAACTCTTAATATGTGAGTCAAAATTGGCTTGATGGCAACCAGTTATGTAACTCATAAAATCTAATTAATTTAAGATTTTCCAACTCTTAAATATCTTTTGAATATGTCCCCTTTTCTTCATTTCCACAGACTTAGAACAGTTCAAGGCCACATTTTCTCTTTCCTGGTTTTTGAGTTTCAAGCACATTCTTTTAGCCTAATAGAGGATGAACATAAGGAACATAATGCGACACAAATTGTAGTTGTCAGATTAATCATCAAACCATGTATCTTTGTTACATAGTGCTGCTGTAACAAAAAATACCACAAGTAGGTGGCTTTAAAGAACAGAAATTTGTTTTCTCACAATTTGAGTGGCTAAAAAGCCTGAATTCAGGACATGGTTCTATGGGGAGGTTCTTCTTTGTCTATTTCAGCTTTTAGTATCTGCTGGCAATACTTAGAGTTCCTGGGCTTGTAGATGCATCTTTTGTGTGTGTCTTTCTTCAAATGATATCTTCCCCTTGTTTGTCTCTGTGTCTAGTATGCTCCTTTTATAACTATAATGCTTCACATTATCCTTATCTGCCCTCATCTTTGCTCATCTCTTGTTGTATTTACTAGGCTTCCATGTGCTTTACCTTTCTTTTTTAACCTTTTTTCTTACCACAGTAGCCCTCATTCTTACTGCTTTGTTTCCTGGCTACACTTTGCATTCTTTCTTGATAATATTTTCTTATGCTTTTATCTTGATTAGAGTGTTTCTATATCTGCCTTCACTATCCCCTCTTCACCTACATGTGTATTGTAATCTAATTCTTCTGATTATGGGAGAGAGATGGGAGGTGCTGCAAGGAAAAGTGGGCTTAGCAGCTTATTTTTTGAGTATAGAGTATGACTATCTTGCCTAGGGACCGTTAGCTATTTGGGGCACTACCATGCCCCTTTGGCCACAATTCCTGGAATCCTTTAATATAAGGTGGGCAGTGTGAGGGAAGATGTGGTCACCTGGTTTTATTGTCCCACATAACCATTGAATTAATGCAGGCTTTCCCTTGTAAGGGTTCCTCAGCTTTCTGGTTTGTTAACGGTAGTCTTTCTTGTTTGTTGTTGTTCTTCAATATGTTTTTTTTGTGTGTCATTTTTCTACAATTATGGGATTGAGGTGAGAGAGATGGGTGAGAGGACTAAGATACATGCTTAGTCCACTGTGTTCAACTAATCCTTGAGTTTTATAAAATTAACTTTCCTTTACTTAAAATGAAACTTTGTGGTTAAATAAACTTTGCATGTGTCAGGTTTTTCTTTGAGACTCTGCATTCGCATTTCATATTTTGTTGGTTTTTCCTTAAAGGTTATAGGCAATTATTATTAGTTTTTTTTATAATGTACAAAGTATGAGATGTTTTCAGGAAGCCTATTACGTTTCCAACAATTAATAACTCTTAACAATGAGGAAAGGTAGTATTCCAGATATGATAATTTTTTAGGTGACAGCTGGACGTCATTTGGGAGCTTTGTAGGCAGTTAAAAACGTGAAAAGGAGAAAAAGTGGGAGGTAAGGGCTAGAAAAGTTTTAAAATTCGTTATCTTAGTGTTGAATTCATGGAAGTATAGAAAGAAAGGCCTTCTAAAACATTATTATTTCAGGTGGCAAGAAGGAAGGGTGTCAGCAAAGGAAATAGGAGCAGGGGTTAGGGAGGAATCAGGAAATCAGAACAATGCAAGGTCTTGAAAATCAATGGGAAAAATAGGAAGTAGTTAATAGTATCAAATGCCGCAAAACTCCACAGTGATGAGAACTGAGAATTGCACCTCTTGCGATCATAATTTATTGATGATCTTTGTGATCATAATTTAATTAATGCCATGGAGATAGGCATTAGTTTTGTATTGGGGCTAATCAGCAATAGTGTTGGTAACAAATAGGAATTTGTCTGGAAAGTAAAATAAGAATTTGACAGTAGTTTGAAAAGGGCAGAAAGATCAAGCACATATTTTGTTTTGTATTCAAATAATATACAGGGGATAGGAGGAAATTAAAGATTCCTCTACAGAGGGTCAATGTATATTGATAATATAGCAGCTAAAGTCTCAGAAGACGTAATGTTGAAATCTAGAGTTAGGTTCAGAAAGCAGGATCACTTTAGTTTGGAGTGATGATTAAGAGGCCAGATGTTTAAATAGTGATGAATTGAAGGCAGAGGCACATGCTGAATGACCTAATACCAAATATATTTTACACAGATCCATTGCTTATTTTCCTTCATGCATTTTGGGCTTGTTTGGTTGTGGAATTACATCTTTGGAAATATTACTATTAATATTTATCCATTATTATTTTTGCATAGTTAGATTTGAACTTCCTCTGTGCTTTATGGTGCTCTAGTTGCATTAATCCATCTCTTTTGATTATTCCCTTTCAAATGGTATTCTTATTTCTTCTCTCTTTTTTATTCTTTTAATCCAGCTTTTAACATATTTATGTTCTTTTGCTTATTTCAGAAGAGATGACCAAGTTTAAAAATGACAAAGAAGTAGAACTTGAAGAATTGAAAAAAATGTTGGTAAGTATATAGTTTCTTTTATTAATATATAGCAATTGCTTTTCAAAACAATATTGAATCCATTGACTTAGACTCTCATATTATGTATATCTTATGCTAAAAATTTCAGCTAAAATGTGAACAACTTTATGTTTGGTTTTAAGTAAAGCCATATTCTTATCTGTACCAGTTTTTATATATCTTGTTAACTGTGTTAGTGAAAGTGTTTGTATTATTTGAACACGTTGACAGTACATTTTTAAATAAGATCACATATATATATATTATGTAGCTGATTATAAATTTACTTTTGAATGTTGTGCTTTTGATACCTTTGAGGTACAAAGCTGTAATTTTGAAAAAGATATGTATGGTACATATTCAGTATGCATGTTGGTATTCAGATAGAATCATGTTTGATGAATTTGTTAGGGTAAGGCTTAATTGATTAGAGCTTAATTGATACAGCAGGGGTCAGCAGACTTTCTGTAAAGGACTGGATTGTAAATATTTTAGGCTTTACGGAATATATATGGTTTCTGGTTTCTGTTAAATAATCTCTTCCTCCTCCATTTTTTTTTTTTTTTAACATTGTAAAATGTAAAAAACATTCTTAGCTCAAGGACCTACAGAAAGAAGCTGCAGGCTAAATTTGTCCTGCAGGCTGTAGTTTGCTGAACCCCTAATATTGAGAACAATATTGTTTATGGCTACAGATATTTGATTTTGTATTTACTTATCACATCTGTGCCTGATTTTGCAGCTCCCAGTGTTTCCATCTCTTGGGAAGCATTATTTCCGAATACTTTTCCTTTCTCTACTGAAACACTTTTGCAAAAACTCTTGTAAATAATAATAATATTTTATTTTACATTGCTTTCAAATTTCATAATGCATACTTACACTTCAAGTCTCAGTTTAAATATCACTTTTTTAGGAAACCTCTCTTACACTGCAGGCTAGGTTTAGATCTTTGTAAGTGTTGTTACCATAGCTCCCTGAACTTTTCCTTTATAGCACTTATCACAAATAAAGTTAATTTATTTTTGGTATAATTATTTAATTATTTATTTGTCCTTTAGACTCCCTCTTACCTAGCACAGTAGATGGCATATAGTAGGTGCTCAATAATATTTGTGGAATGAATCTGTGTTTCAATGGGGGCGATAAACCTATGTCCTGTTTATTCTGTAACCCCAGTACTTAGCACAGTAACTGACACTTAGTAAACATTCTATATATATTTGTCAAATTAATGAATACCAGAACAATGTCTTTATTGTAAAGCTTCACTCCTATGTGGACAAGGACTGGTTTAGGGTTTTGTTGTGTTTGAATGGCAGTTGTTGTTGTTAGCTGTCTTCAAGTTGGCCCTCGACTCATGGCAATCCCATGTGTTACAGAGTAGAACCATAGGGTTTTCTTGGCTGTGATCTTTATGGAAGCAGTTGGCCAGGCCTTTCTTCCATGGAGCTGCTGTGAACTGTGAACCTCTAGGTTAGTCGCTGATAGTAAGGCGCTTGCTCCACCCAGGCTCTTTTGAATGACAGTAGAGCATAATTAATATTTTGGTCCTCAGAACCAGAATATCTTGAATGGAATCCATCTCTTTACTTGCTAGCTGTATGACCTAGGACAATTTATTCTCAGTTTTTCCATCTATGAAATGGGGAAGATAATTGTACGTATCTCATAGGATGGTTGTGAGGAATAAATAAGATGATATATTTACTCATTTAACAAGTATTTGTTGAGTTCCTATTATGCTATGCTCTGGGGTATAGTCAGGAGCAAATGAATACCTATCCTGCCTTCATGCAACTAGAGTTATCAAATAATCACACTTAAATATAATAAATCATTTAAATGTAATATGAGTGCTATGAGGTCTATAATAAAAGGATTTGAACTAGTTATAGAGGCTTCCTTGAAGAAGTAAAGATTGAACCAAAGTCTGGAGAGTAAGTAGGAATTTAACAAAAGAAGGAAGTGAAGAGCACATCAGGTAGAGGAAATATATGCAAAAGTCCCTTGGTGGGAGGGAGTATAGTGAGTCTAAGATGGAGTGAAAGGAAGAATATGGTGCAAAATGAGGCTAGAGAGTTAGGTAGTAGGAGTCTGACAGTTCATGGCCTTGTAAATCATATCAAGGGAATTTTGTATTTATCCTAAGAGGAATGGGAAGCTACTAAAGTGTTTTAGCAGGAGGTGACTTGTCAAATTTGTGTTTTGAAAAGATCATTTGGCTTGCAGTGTGGAAAACAGTATATAAAGGTAAAACAAGAGACAATTGTGGTAGTCAGGGCAGAGATGATTGAAGCTTGGGCTGGGAGGTGGTGGTAGTGAGAAAAGTTTTGAGAAATACTTAAGGTTTAAATACTTTGGGTTGACATAGGATGACGTTACCATTTGTTGGAAAGATTATCCTTTCTCCATTGGATTGTTTTTGCACATTTATACAAAATCAATTCGTCATGTTTATATAGGGTTGCTATGAGTTGGAATCGACTTGACGGGGACAGGTTTGGTTTGGTTTTAGTATGTGGGTTTATTTCTGGACTCTGTTCTTTCTCTCTAATCTGAGTCTATCCCTTTGACAATATTGCAGTGTCTTGATTACTGTAGCTTTATAGTAGGTATTAAAATTGGACAGTGATTCCCCTAATTTTATTACTCTTTTTCAAAATTGTTTTAGGTATTCAGGTTCTTTGCCTTTTCATATAATTTTTAGAATCAACTTGTCTATATCTAAAAAACTCCTGGTGGGATTTTGATTAGAATTGTATTAAAGTTATAGATCAATTTGGGGAAAATTGGCATCATTACGATGTTGAGTATTCCAGTACATGAATATGGTGTGTATCTCCATTTATATGGGTCTTCTTTGGTTTTAAGCGTACACATCTTATACATCTTATGTTAAATTTATACCTGAGTATCTCTTTCTGCAGGTATTTTAAATAACATTTAAAAAAAATTTCAATTGTATATTTCTAGTAGGTGGAAATTTGATTTTTATACGTTGACCTTGTATTCTGTGGCCTTGCTAAACTCATTCATTACTTCTACGAGCTTTTTGTAAATTCCTTGGGATTTTCTATGTAGACAATCAAATAAAACTAGAGGGACAGTTTTATATCTTACTTTCCAATTTGTGTGTGTTTTGTTTCTTTTTCTTGCCTTCTTGCATGAGCAAGACTTCCATTTATGATGTTAAATAGGAGTGGCTAGAGTGTCCATCTTTGATTTCCCAATCTTAAGGGAAAAGCATTTAGTGTTTCACCATTAAGTATGATGTTAGTTGTAGGTTTTTTGTAGGAAGTTCCCTTCTATTCCTAGTTTGCTGAGCATTTTTTTTTATTGTTGTACTTTCAGTGAAAGTTTACAATTCAAGTTAGTCTTTCATACAAAAATTTGTACATATATTGTTATGTGACCCTAGTTGCCCTCCCTGTACTGTGACAGCACACTTCTCCTTTCCACCCCTGATTTCCCATGTCC